TGTTGCCAATGAGCAACTTCTAAGTTTTGGATGACTGTAGATGGAGGGAGTCCTGGCTATGACAGGAGATCTTAGGGTAGTGTTTAGGGGCCTTGATGCAAACATTTCTTCCTGTTCACCCCTGGAGAGGATTGCAGAGTTAGGTTAATGAAGCTGCCTGGAGAGACCACAGGACACTCTCCCCCCACTTCTCCTTTGAGATGGGAAGGGACAGGCATATGAGCTGATGCTCTTTCCTCTCCCTACAGGCTGTGTACAAGGCCTGGCTGTGCTCAGAATACTTCAGCGTGACCCAGCAGGAATGCCAGCGCTGGGTGCCCTGCAAGCAATACTGCCTGGAGGTGCAGACCCGGTGCCCTTTTATCCTCCCTGACAATGAAGAAATGGTGTACGGAGGGCTCCCTGGATTTATCTGTACAGGTAAAGGCAGGGCGCTGGGAAAGGGGGAGGAGGCTGGGGACCCAGGGAAGGCGGCAGCTCTGAAGAGTGGGAGCAGGGAGGACAAGGGCAGACACACTAGCAGCCCGATGGCTGGAGCAGTGGGGCGTGAGGTCCCCAGGTTGGGACAGGCTCAAGTAGACTAGGAAAAAAAGTAAAGACCAGAGTGGCCAGCTCTACCCAGAACACACTCAGCCAGAGAAACTGGCTGAGTTCCTCCGGAGAGAAGGGCTGCAAAAGCAACAGCGCTGAGGGCCGGGGGGAAGAGGCTCAGAGAAAGCTTTGAAAAATCTCCTCTCCAGGTAAGGCCTAGCCACCAGCCCCCTGAACACCCCGTCCACCCCTTCCTTATCCGTTGGCAGGGTTGCTGGATACTTCACCAAAGCGGCCGGAAACCAAGTGCTGTGACGTGCAGTGGGTCTCCTGTGAGTCGGAAAAGAAGAAGTTCAAGGAGACTGAGGCCCCCAACACCCACCACCAGCAATTCCATCACTCCTATTTCCACCACTACCACCCACAGTACCACCACTACCACCCCCGCCATGACCCCCCAGGCCGCGTCAGCCACAAGCCCTCCCTGCTGACGGTCTCTGGGGGCTCACGCCTCAGCCCCAGTAGGATCCGGCTCTGTGTCCTTGTGCTCATGCTCCTCCATACCGTGGTGTCCTTCTCCAGCAACCAGGGTGGTGGTGGGGGACTGGGGCTGGAGACACTGCCTGCCCTGGAGGAGGGCCTCCCACGGGAAGAGTGACAGCATGGAGGGAGGACAGATCTCCACCACCCACTGGCATCAGCTGCAGCCCCCCCAGGTGGGGGGGAGAGGGAGCTCCTCCCATGGGGGATGTAGGACTAGGTGGGGGAGTGGGGGGTGGGGGGAGAAGGGGGACCACACATCCCTCCCAGTCTGCCCCCCTGCCCCAAAAAGCAGCTCCAACAGAACGGCCACAGGGCCCCCCAGGAAGCTGCGCAACTCACCCAGGAGAAAAAGGCAGGAGCAGCAGGTGCCCCCTCCCAGGCCTCCATTGATTGGGGGTTAGCAAAAAAATGGGAGGGGGGAGCAGGGGCTGGAAACGTTCCACCCCTGCCGAGAGCCCTGACCCCAGGGGAGGAGGCTGCTCACCCAGCCTCAGCCCTGCAGGGAATGTTGGGGGGCACAGAGGGGAGAAGCTCTTTCCCCCCTCTCCGCGTTCCTTTTGTTGCCAAGATCCTTAATTCCCTCCTGCCCATATCCCTACAGGCGTCGGCAGACAGCGCAACGGCCCTCCTGCCACATCAGCGCACCTCGGCCCACGTGGGGCCGGCACAGGGGAAGCAGCGGGCTGGCTGGGTGATGAGGTACGCCCAGTTGCAGCTAGGTTGGGGGCCCCAGTTAAGCTGTCTCCCAGCACCCTTGGCAACAGGGGGTTGGGGTGGGGTTAGGAATGGGGCCCAGAATGAGTGGCGAAAGAGAGTGAAGCTCAGGAAGCGAGAGAAGAAAGGAGAGATGTGGACACGGGGCTGGGAGAGATAGCCAAGTGGGTCGTGGCTGGCCTGGCATTGGGGAGGTGGACTGAGCAGTGCTGAGGTGTGATCTAAGAACTGCCGGCCAAACGAGAGAGTGGTAGAAGGAGATCTCTGGGAGGGGGGAAGAGCCCAGGAACTGAGTTGTTGGACCTCAGAAACAGGAGGCTTGAGGGCACGTGGTTCGACTGCCGCTGTCTGAAGGGCCATATCTTACAGAAGGTGCACACACTCCCAAGGGCCGCTCTTGCCCTGGAGATCTTGGCCTTGGGGCCAAAGACCTTTCCATTTCCCATCTCCATGGGGAGGAGGGACTTAAACCCAAGTGGGTCAGGCCTGGCCTGGGTCCTCATACTCCCCCATCTTGTCCTAGCCCAGGCCTCCATGAAGGAGAATCTGGTGGCCCTGCCCCAGAGTTCTCCAGAGATGAGCCTTCCCCCATCCCCATTCCTGTCCCCATCCCCAGCCTACCAAAGAGTATTCATCCCTTCCCATCCTTGATCCCAATTGTGGAACAACCAGACTCCTTCTCACCCTGTAGCGGGTCCCTTGCTCCAGTCACCCCACACCCCTTCCTGGAGAAAAGTCCAGAGACTGGCAAGAGGGCCCTTTGCCTCGAGACAACGCGCTGTCATCCCTGGGAGGAGAGACTTGAGCCGATTGGCTGGGCTAGAGGGCTGGATTGGAGAAGCAGCGAGAGTCCCTTGGGCGTCATCAGCCTGGCACTGGTCCGCTGGGAGAGGGAGGCCATATTGCCTGGGATATCCAAAAGCCAATGAGAGTCAGTGAGGAAGAGAGCCGGAACTATGTTCCTGATACAGGCCCTTCTAGGCCCTTCTAGGATCTGGTGCGAGCGAGCAAGTGAGCGAAGGTGAGGGGCAGACTTGGAGCTGCATTAGAATGAAACCAGGAAGGGGACTTGGGGAAGGGGAGAACTGGCCTTGATTGACTTAGCAATGAATGGGGGGCCTCCCTAGTGAAGAGGACGTCACACAAGGGCCTTGGCTAGGTCCCAAATAGGGTCGGCAAGCCTGGGGAGTCCCTCCCTGCCAGTTTTCTCATTTTCTCACAACCTGCCCTCCCCACCCCCACTCCCGTGCCCTGCCCACACCCTCCCCTATTTAGGCCCTCAGCACTTCGGGCCTGGCCACATACCCCACCCCTAGAGTGCTCTTTTCAGCTGGGGAGGGGAAGAGGTGCTGGCTCCTTTCCAGACATGCTTATGTGTTAAGTGAAGGGGCAGGTGCTTGGGCTCCAGAGAGACCCTAGGTACTGCCTTCTAACTCCTGCATCCTCAGGAGGGGAAAAGGGACTGGGAAGTAAAGGGGGGACCACACGGCCCCAGGGAAATGGACCCTTGGAGACTCCCATCCTCTCGTCCCCTTCACCAAGTGCCCAGGAGACCCCTGGCTCAGACCAGCCCAAGGCCTTGCCCAGTGGCAGGGGAAAGGGGCACCACACTCCACCTCAAAGTCATTTGACTGCCCCCATCCGCCCCACCTCCCTGATCTTCCACCACCTCTCCGGCTGCCCCTGCCCTCCACCGCAGGCAGCAGAGCCGGGCAGCTTTCTTACGCCATTTTCTACACTGTGCTTCATGAGTAGGACTTTCTTGCACTAGTTCCTATGACTGAGTCTCCAAGCTGGTTTCCTAGTAGTCCCCCGTCCCTTCCTCCCTCACCAGCTATGATTCAGTTGTCTCTCCCCTTCCCTTCATTCCTTTATCCCTGCCTCTGTGTTTCAGTGAGAGTCTCTGTGTGTGTACTGCTTTCCGTTTTGTTGCATTGTGGGGCAGAGGCCTCTCTGCTCTTGTTTAATCCCATAAAGAAATAAATGGTAAGACTTGATGATAACCCTCCCTTGCTGGCTTTGTTCTGTGGCGTTGAGCTGGCTGCCCTAGGAAACAATCTACGTATGGCTTGGAGAAGGGGTGGGACCAGAGGATAATGATCCCGTCCCTGGCCCTGCTCCTTGGTGGTGGGGGCACGGATAAACTCTGTAGTAGGCTGTTCTTCACAGAGAAACACAAAGCCAACTGCCTGCTGGGATCAGGCAGATAACTGTAAGGAGGCGGGTGGGCAGGGCTGGGGGAAAAGGGCAGAGCACATGAAAAGGGGGCAACTCTAGCCCTGGCTGGTCTTGTTTCCAGGCCTTCTCATTCTTCAGGGAAAGTCAGGACTCAGGATGTGGATGGGAAGCCTCCCAACTCTTGATTGCTGGCTCAAGTCTAAAAGCAAACCAACCACCTACCTCCATGTGGGCTAAATGTCTGCCAGCCGCGCATGACCTGGGGAGTGCCAGTCGTGTGCCTTTGCCGCAGCCTTAGGTTCTAGCCTACCAGCCTCCTCTCTCTTCCACCACTATCCCAGGCCCATCTGCCCACCACAAGAGCAAAGGCCTCCAGATAGGGCGCTCCACCACCACCCCCTCTTTCACATAAATGGGGGAAAGGAGAGCATGCCTAGGGGTCCTGGCCGAGCCACTGCATTGTTTTGGTGCCAGGAAAACACACGTCCCCCAGACACCCCCGAAGCAGCATACCATGGGAGTTAGGGCCTGGTCTCCAGAGCGGATTGTGAGAGTTCAGAGTCTAGCCACCACCTTCCTTTGATAGTTTGTCCTCTCTTTTCTTTCACTCCCTCCTAAAATGCTCACCAAGTTCTGTCTTCCTCTCTCCGTAATATGTGTCAGGTCCTTCCCACTTCAGCTCCCATGAAGAGGCTTCAGGCCCTCAGGAGCCTTTGCCTGGACAATTCCAGTAGCCTCACGGCTGTCTCGTCCACTTATTCCATCTCCAGCCCCTCCTTCACCTCTCACAGCGTCAGGCATTTGGGAGGCACTTGATAGGGATCTTGGCCAAGAACTGCTTCTGTGGTTGAGTTTCTCGAAGGATACAGCTAATCTTTTCTAATGCAAACACATTGGGGGGGGGGGGGACTTTGGAAAGTTCACGGAAAATGCACAGTATGAAAAACCCAGGCTGGCACTGCGGCTCAATAGGCTAATCCTCTGCCTGCGGCGCTGGCACACCGGGTTCTAGTCCCGGTCGGGGCGCCGGATTCTGTCCCGGTTGCCCCTCTTCCAGGCCAGCTCTCTGCTGTGGCCCGGGAGGGCGGTGGAGGATGGCCCAAGTACTTGGGCCCCGCACCTGCCTGGGAGACCAGGAGAAGCACCTGGCTCCTGGCTTCGGATCAGCACGGTGCGCCGGCCGCAGCGGCCATCGGCGGGGTGAACCAACGGAAAAGGAAGACCTTTCTCCCTGTCTCTCTCTCTCACTGTCCACTCTGCCCGTCAAAAAAAAATTTATGCCGGTACCGCGGCTCACTAGGCTAATCCTCTGCCTTGCGGTGCCAGCACACTGGTTCTAGTCCCGGTCGGGGCGCCGGATTCTGTCCCAGTTGCCCCTCTTCCAGGCCAGCTCTCTGCTGTGGCCCGGGAGTGCAGTGGAGGATGGCCCAAGTCCTTGGGCCCTGCACCCCATGGGAGACCAGGAGAAGCACCTGGCTCCTGCCTTCGGATCAGCGCGGTGCGCTGGCCGCAGCGCGCCGGCCACAGCGGCCACTGGAGGGTGAACCAACGGCAAAGGAAGACCTTTCTCTCTGTCTCTCTCTCTCACTGTCCACTCTGCCTGTCAAAAAAAAAAAAAAAAAAAGAAAGAAAGAAAAAGAAAAGAGAAAAAAACCCATCCATGGATTTCAATACTTTTTAAGATTAATTTATGTACTTATTTGAAAGTCAGAGCCATTAAGTGAGAGAGCAGGAGCTCTTCCATCTGCTAGTTCATCCCCAAATGGTTGCAACAACCAGGTCTAGGTCAGACCAAGGTCAGGAACCTGAAACTCTATCCAGGTCTCCCATGTGGGTGGCTGGAGTCCAAGTACTTGGGCTGCTTTTGCAGGTGCATCAGAAAGAAGCTGGGTTGGAGGCAGAGCAGCTGGGACTCGAACAAGCTCTCTGATATAGGATGCCTGCATTGCAAGCAGCAGCTTAACTCAATATACTGCAACACCAGTCATTCATTTTTTTCTTTGTACCAAGACAAACTTACCATTTAATTTTACTTTGCCTGAACTTTTTGAAATAGCCTCTTATTATAACCCTCGAAAATATCACAACGAGAAATCCGAGATCTTAGGTCGCTCTACATTGCCTGTAGAATCAAGTACAACTTGAGAGTATGGCACTCAAGACCCATCAGATCTCCTCGGATCTCCCAGCATAGACACTCCCAATCACAGCCCCACTTCCCTGCTGTTCCTTCGCAGAAAGGGCTCTGCACCCTCTCCTCTTCTGCTCTTGCCCACGTTGGTTCTTCTGTCTGGAATGCTCACTCTCCATGCCTGCTTGCCACTGACATCCCTGGTTGTCACAGTCCAGCTGAAATGCCACCTCTGCTCTGAAGACGTCCACATCTCCCCCACTCTCCCAAGCTGGAAGTAACCTCTGTCTTCTCTACTTCAATTAACACTTCATACATTAATAGTGATACTCGTTACATCCTGCGTGTGTTTGATTCATGTGCTATCGAGCAATGACTAGATGACAAGCCCCATGCAGAATGTAGGCAGTCCAGCAGGAATCAGACGTAGATGTACCAGATCACATGACCTTATATGTCAGACAGCCATAACAGTATGCTCACTATATCAGCACTTTTGTCTCACTGCATGTCCACAAGCAGGGAGTCAGCCAGGCTCTTGTGGTCTTGCATATAGGAAAGAGAACTAAAGGATTAGAGATCCCCCTCTAACCCACTACCCACAATGGCAAGAGGGGCAAGCACTCACAGTAATGAGGGAGTGACCAGCGCGATGGCTGTTTCAAGGAAGTAGCTCTAGGAGGCAAGCATCACCCTCCGACCCCTGAGCTAAGCCGGCATTCCCTGCAGCTGCCTCCTCTGGGTTGCCCCCATGTGGCCGGGCCCCAGCCCTGGTTCTCTCCATTCAGATCTCCTCCGTCAAGTCCAACCTCAGTCTGGGCAAGGAGAGAGGAAGAGAATGACTCACAGCATCAGAGTCACTTGGAGAGAGTTGGCTCTCCACCAGCAGACAGCGTGACTTAATAAGGCTAGGGTAGGGGTTCTTGCTTCAGTATAAATTAGGTAGCTCCACAAGTGACTCTAACGTGCGGCCAGGCCTCAGGATCCCTGGGTGAAGAGAAGGCTAGGGCTACATGAAATCCTAGTGATTGGAGGACAAGTGGTACTAGATAAGGCCCCTTGCAAGGAATCCACTTGAAATAGGGAGCAACATTTCACAGCAGAGTGAGGAAGAAAGGGGAAAGGGTTTGCTTGGAACTTTATCTCAAGAAGTGACGTTAGAAATGTAGAAAATATTTCACTTGCCATTTAAAGCATGTACATATAGAGAATCTGCCCTAATTCTTAGGATGTACAAACAAGGAATCAAGCATTAGGGGATAATGTAATTTTCCTGCCCAAAGTGCATGAGAGTGTAATATTGACTTTTGCAGCGCAGTCGTAAATGGGGCTTCCCCCCGCCCCGACCATGCCATGAGAGAGCTTCTTCAATTATCCCAAGGACCTCTTGTGCTCCTTTGAGAGTTGAATCATTCTCTCCGAAGCCTTGATCCCGTCATTAGCCAGGTCAATTTTCTCTTCCACCAGTGCTAACGGGGCCATACCTGGCAAATCGCCCTTCACCAAGAACTTCCCACGACACAGGAGATGTTGCACTCTCTCTCTGACTTGGTGACACCGCAAATCTTTTTGAAGACCTACAGGTGCACCCTGAGATTTAGTTGCACCATGTAATACTAACAGTTAACAAGAGCCAGGGTAAGAGCCCAGCATGGTAAGTGCAGATAAACAGTACTGAGGTGTGAAATGGGAGGAGGGGCTTCTGTGGGATTCAAGACAGTAAATGTCTCAGACGGCTCCAACTCTGCCTTTCTACCCAACTTCACAAAGTCCCTTTTCCTTTTTGGGTTTTTAATCTGCTTGTCTCTACAATGAAGGGATGGGATGAGATGTCAGAAAGATTGCACAAAGGAACTCAAGTGAAAGGTTATATGAGGGGAATCTTCAACAAGATTATGGAGAATGTATATTATGAAAAAAAAACGATGCATGAATTTTGAAAAACGCTGCAGCCAAATAAACCTTAGCTTTCCATTCCATTTTCCCGTGCTCTTTTCGAAGTCCCCTTATGCAGATGTAAAGGCACGGAGCCCTATTGCTAGCACAGGAGAGCAACTACCTGACCTCCTGCACATCTTCCCTCCCACCCCCAGCAGTTGTAGATTCTTCTAGGATACACCGAAGGACAAAGAAGGACAAAGGGAAGGGTGCATCCGTACAGCTAAAGGAAGTCCCAGAACTTTATGAGCCTGGCCCCAGTTTCTGCCCTACTGCTGTTACCTCCTGTCACATTCACCAGGGTGCAGTACAGAGATCCATGGAGCCCACACTGAACATGGGTGAGGCTAACCGCTTAGGGGTATAGGATAGTCAAACAGATCACTCAGACGTGGAATCTCCCATCAAGGAACTCCTCAGTTGGTTGGAGAGAAAAGTCATGAAAAAACTACTTCTAGAATCTGCCCATTTCTCCCAGCTTCATTGTCACTACCTCGTCCAAGCCACTGCCAATGACCTGTTCGCTGGTCTCCTTGCTTCCAGTCTTGCACCTCCATTCACATTCACCTGGAGCGATCTTTTGAAAGTGGAAACCAGGTCACGTCTTTGCCTTGCTAATACCCTCTCACAGTTTTGACTGAAATAAAATCCAAAGTCCTTACCGTGGATGTCCACTTGCCCACCTCTCGAACCTCACCAAGGACCCTCCCTTCACTCTGTTCCTGCCATTTCTTTTCTTTGGATACGCTAAGCTGT